GTAACTGATACCATCATTTATTAAAATAATAGAAAACATATCAGGAAATAATTATGAGTAAGAAAACTGCAAAATCATGCTTTAATGATAAGAATCTAATTCACATATAAACCATTAAAGAAATTCTTCATTGTTAAGTTCATAATGCTCTCCTTGGCAATCATGGGTTGTTCTAGTTTCTGGGGTCCTTAGTTTCCTCTATTCTTCCATGCTCTGAGGAGTCCAGTTTACCCACTTCAGTAACCCTGTTAGGACAGTGACTGGGTCTCATGAGTCTTCATGCTTCCCAGTGCCTCCCCCACAGTGCTGTGTACACAGTACTTAGGCTCAGTAAACACATGCACTTTATCCAGTGTTTTCCCAATCTGAAAGTTCTGCCTTTGCTCTGTGTGAGCGCTGTGAACCCTGTTGCTGCACAGTAGACCTTACTACAGAGCTCATTTTATAATCTGCATTTCAACATAAAAACATTCTGCACATGATATTCATAATCTCAGGACATGGAAAAAACTTCCAGCAGCCTGATGTACAACAAACTGCACAAACAGCATACCAACCCATTCAAGAAGGAAAGTCTCTGGGTTCTTCACATCCAGGTGGTTTCAAAAAGAAAAAAAAAAAAAGAAAGAAAAAAACCTAGCCTGTCTGCTTTCACTCCTGCCTGAAATAAAAAGGAATCTGGTTTGTCCTGAATACACTAGCAAATCCTTTCTTACTGAAGAATTGGAAGAAGCCTGAGGTTTTCCTTATCCATTGTTTGGAGACTCTGTAGACTTCAAATTCAGAGAAGGGGGAAGGGACATGTATGCAAGGGAAGAAAGTTTCTGATGGTGTTGGTAAAACATAGTCATACAGAAACCCAATTTGAACCTATACAGAATCCAACTGAACAAAGCTCACCTTACTGTGTTCTGAAATCCCAGAAGGGGCAGCTGTGTGGACACCAAGGTCTGATAAACTTAATAGAACACATTAGGGGCCTGAGGAATAGTTTGGTGGCTAAGAGCATGGCTTTCTCTTCTTACAAAGTCCAGAGTCTTTATCTCAGCAACCACGCATAGCAGCTCACAACTGTTGGTAACTCCAGCTCTAGGGGATCCCACATCTCTTCTCACTTCTGCAGAAACATGCACACAGGTAATCGAAAGTCACATACACATGAGGAAATAAAATCTTAAAGACAGACACCCAACACTTTCAAGATAACTCCTATGAAGATGGAGTGTGCCTGTCATATAACACAAAAATCACATATAGATTGTTTGGGTTTGGAAGTTACTGCCTTTATAGGGTGGTTTCCCGAGGACACCTCACAGGATTACAATCAAGAAAGTGAACATCAGCCCACATGGCTACAGATAAAGAAGCTAAGAAAGAGGGACAGATATAGGATAGAGTTGGGGAGCAATTCAGAGAATACTGGACCTTCCAAATTTATTCTTCAACATTCTTAAATACCCCAATCAAAAAGGAGAACATGGCAAAAGACTTCTTTATCAAGATACAAGGAAGAAACAGAACTTCTTCCTTAATTCTTCAAACATTTGGTAAGCACACCTCAGACTAAATTTCTCATGATCTGGCCCTGAGGCTCAGGAGTATCTACACCTCAGAGAAAGTTTCTTGGTATTTAGATAAGACATCCACAACCAAGATCAAGCATCCTACAATAGTCAAGCCTTAGACCCTTAGGTCTTATGACTTTAACATTAGAAGACTAAGTACAGTTTGAACATCTCTACCTTAAGTCAAGATGAAGCAGACCCCAAAAGGATGAGACATGCTATTGTCTCATCAGGATGATCACTGAACAAATCATCCTGAGAGTCAGAATGACCTTGAGGGAAATTCTAGTACAGTCTCTTCCTCTATCTGCTGTGGAGCGGCATGCTTCTTTGAATAGAGTTCATCCCATGAGTGTAGGATGCCCCTCATAGTAGATAGACTAAATATATTATAACTGCTGAGAGTTACACACAAGACATGGGTTTGTAAGCAAGTTTTGGTAGTAGTATCTGTGTGGTCTTTGTTGTAAGCTGTATGCCATACAACGCAAAGCTTTAGCTGTTTTCATAAAATGAACTTGACAAATTAATGGAGATCTTAGAAGGAGGAAGAGATCAATGCTATCTGCTTCATTTGCCCCCGATTTGTCAGGAAAAGTAGAAGAGAAAGGAGGATGAGTTGGGACTCTGGCTTGACACATCTTACATCTGACTGAATGTAAAGGAAATAAATACAAACAAGTTATGTCGGTGATGAAGAGCCCTTCTTGGGATTCAAAACTGTGGGACCCATAGAAAGAACTGAATAGTGAGAATGAGGAGGGCCAATAAAAATCATCAGGGAAGACAGCTCTCAGTTCTGATCATTAATATAGAGAGAAAGGGAAAATTTGTCGTGTATACCAGGCATGTTTATAATGGCTCAGCATGAAACTATAATTAAGAAATAGTCTGCATCTGAACTGTGTGACATGAAGACACATAACCAAAAAGAAAACAAGATCCTCACTGACTTGTGGGACAAGGTGGTGGATGGGACAGGATGATGAGTGTGACAGGATGGTCAGTGGGATAGGGTGGTTGTTGGGACCAGTTTGAGTGTGGGGGGAGGAGAGAAACATAACCACCCATTCATTCTTAAGAATAAGCCTGCATAGGCTGAGGCAATACCACAGAAAACATTCACTGAGAGACTGGCTCACAGAAGCCATTGGGGACACTAGAATAACACTGTCTGAGGACCCCATGAATAACAGTTGAAGATGATGGAGGAAGGACAGACATTACTGGGGAGAGGCATTGTGTGGCGATGATTCACTGGGCCAGAGGGGACTGTGTTCACAGAAAAGTTAAGCTGAGTGTTGGGGCATCAGGGACCTCGGCACTGTCAAGGGGCTTTAGTGTGTTCACTCTTCTTTGAGAAGCAATTAAGAAAGGAGGAGCATCCTAGAGAAATATTCTTGAACATTTTCATACCACCATTGGGACTAGCCTCAGTGATTGAGGCAGGACTATGCTTGTTGCCCTTACAGTTTGGTGTTGTTAGAAAAAAATGAAAAATATCTTGAGAATGGATATTTTATACAGAAAAAAAAGATTCATTTGGGTGCCAGCACTGGAAGCTAAAAATCCAAGAGTATTCCACTGACTGCTGAAAATAGGTTAGTTACACTACAACATGACACATGCCATCATGTCAAGGTAGTCAAAAAGAGCTGACTTCAGCATGTAACAGAAGAATCTATAGGAAATCCATCTATCCATGAGGTTGTCATAGCTATTCACTCAGTACACAGACAGGCAGCACAGTAAGGTGGCTCAGGACACAGCTTGGGAGTCAACAGTGCTTTCATCAAGATTCCTTCGATGTTATAACTTGATGCCTGGTAAAGTCTTCCTCTGCCTTTATTTCTATGAACTCACAAGGCAATGTCTGCTATGACATTAACATATGTGGTCACAAGCCTACAATCCACACTGCCAGAGAAGCTAGTAAACAAGGAGGACCCTAAGAGAGACATACATGGTCCCATGGAGAAGGGAAAGGGTCAAGATCTCCTGAGAAAATTGGGAGCATTGGAAGAGCCGGGAGGGAGCTAGGAGAATGAGAAGGGGAGAAGAGGAAGGGTGCGGAGGACATGAGGGAGCAGAAAGGTTGAGTCAGGGGAAGAATAGAAGATAACAAGAATGGAGATACCATAATAGAGGGAGACATTTCAGGTTTACAGAGAAATCAGGCACTAGGGAAATGTCTGGAGATCTACAAAGATGACACCAGCTAAAAATCTAAGCAACAGAGGAGAGGCTACCTAAAATGCCCTCCCCAGATAATGAGATTGATGACTGACTTATATACCACCTGATAGCCCTCATCCAGCAGCTGGTGGAAGTAGAAGCAGACACCCACAACTAATCACTGAGCTGAACTGGAATCCAGATGCAGAGAAGGACGAGCAAAGAGCCAAAGGGTCCAGACCAGGCTGATGAAACCCACAGAAACAGTTGACCTGAACATCGGGGAACTCTTGCTCCCCAGACTGATAGCTGGGATACCAGTATGGGACTGATCCAGACCCCAGGAACATGGATTTCAGTAAAGAAACCTCGGAAATCTACGGGACCTCCTAGTTCAGTCCTTATCCCTAGCATAGGTGTGGACTTTGGGAGCCCATTCCACATAAAGGAATACTCCCTGAGCCAAGACACACGGGGGTGGGCCTAGGCCCTATCCTAAAGGATACCATAGACTCTGATGACCCCCCTATGGAAGGCCTCACCATACAGGGGGAGCAGAAAGGGTATGTGACAGGTAGGGTTTTTGTGGGGAGGTGGGTAGGGGAGAAAGAGAGGGAGAGGGAACTGGGATTGTCATGTAAAAACAATCTTGTTTCTAATTTAAATAAAAACTGCAATAAAATAAAATAAAATAACAAGAAAAAAACATGTGGTCACAGAAAATACATCAGCATTGAACTGGGACTCCTGTGTGAAAAAAGCCCCAATCACCTGACTGCACTATGAACCAGGTGCTGGGTGTCAGCAGGTTGGAAGACACGCTTTCCCATCACTTACTACACCTCTGAGAAAATATTCATTTCCGTTGTTTGCCTGTAATTTTAAGAAATGAGGCTATAAAGATTATATATACACTTCCTCCTTTCTTTACTTTCCCAAGCAACCCAAAAACTAAAAATTGTTCCATATCACAAGGAAATGCTTTGGGGTTTTTTGGTTGGTTGTTTTTTGTTTGTTTCCCTTTTTTTTTCCCCCAGTCATGTTTGATTATATCTCAGATCCCTGGGTGATCCAGTCTCTGTGCTGGTTCCTAGCCTTGCCCATAATGTCAGGCTTGGGCTCCCTCTTCTGGCAAGATTTTAAATAACATACAAGCTCAAGATCTCTGTAAACAAATATTGAAGATTCTGGTTGGGAAGTCCTGGCAAACCCTCCCCTAACACAGCTCACTGAACTTTGACACGATTGTTGATTCCCTGCAGTGACCAGATAGTTTCAGTTTCTCAGTACTTCACCCTCATCAAAGGTTACAGGAATTTTCAACATTTGCTCACTTGGGGAAATCCAGAAAGCCTCACAGGATTGCAGGAGGAAATGAAAATTAAAAAATAAACGCAAAGCCCATCCACCTGTGCTGAAGAGCAAGAGCAGTAAGAAGAGGCACTTGATCTTGCTAGGTCTGGGGAATTCTGACCAGAAACATGGGTCCATCAGCCTGGGCAAGAATGAGATGGAATTTCCAGAGTTAATTCATTTTCTTTAGAACTACTGTGACTAGAAAAGGCAGCTCTTGGGCAGGGTCAGGGTCACAATAGCAGATGAACCCCTGGGTGGTATTATCTGGGTAGCCAGGGAGATGGAATTTCCAGAGTTAATTCATTTTCTTTAGAACTACTGTGACTAAAAAAGGCAGCTCCTGGGCAGGGGCAGGGTCACAATAGCAGATGAACTCCTGGGTGGTATTATCGGGGTAGCCAGTCTCTCAGGGCCACCAACAAACTCGATTTGAGTTAGGAACCAGGAGACATGTGGCTGAAACAGGGCAGGATATGCATTGGGATTGTCTTTCTCAGTGGTGACCTCTTTTCTGGTGACAGGGACACAGTTAAATGACTATGGTCAGGATGGAGCAGAGCTACTACTGAAAGGGCTGACTGTGGCTGATTTTCGAGAGGGGACACAGAAAGTGATGCATGGTGAAGAGCCACCACCTTGGTGAAGGACAAAGAGAGAAAATGCTGTGTTGAGGTGAGAAACACAAAGTGAATAAGACATATGGTCTATTCTAGAGCTGACTATGACTGATTGATGGCCCAGGACCACAAGCTCAGCTAACAACACACACCGTGTTCCAACATGTCAAGTTTCTTGAAATTTCTGTAGCAACAGAATAAAGAAAGTCATAGATCAAGGTACTCTTGAAATGCATTGGTGACAATGTGGGGCAGGAAGATACGTCAAAATGGGGACTACAAGCTTTCTGATGCTGTCTGATTATAGTCTACCTTTGGAGTAGTGAGCCAATGGGACTCTTTGTACATTCCAAAAATGTTTTGAATTAGAAGTCACAAGGAGGGTAGGTAAGTCAAGCACAATGGTGGGCAATAAAGGGCTATGGGGGCAGCTAAAGATAACCTAGGAAAATCTCTCTGCAGACCCCTTAAGAAGCCTTTCTATGTCAGCCTAAGACTTCCCCTTACCCCGCCCTCACGGGCATGTTCCGGCACACCTGTCCGGGAATGCAGGGTGGGACTAGAGTCTCCCTACACAAGTTCATGCTATATAGCACATGCAGACCTTCAGCTCAGCATGTAGTCCAGGATGACCCTGAACTCATGAACTTCTTGCTTTGGCCTCCCAAGTGCTGATTACAGGACTGCATCACCACATCTAACCCATAGTTTCCTTTCTAAAAGCACAACTTGTTCCTTTCCTAGAAGTAGAAAGGAAGTAATAAATAAATTTAATTTATATGTTAATAAATTTTATGGTATTGATAAAACAGTCATGTAATACCACTATTCTACATGCTGTATCTATGGCTGTCCCAGGAGTGTCACGTGAATAAGTAGACTCACGAAAACTATGGGGTTTTGTGACTGGTTCTTTCATCTTACTTGACAGCTTCAAGATTCGTCACTGTGAGAATGCATGTCAAATTTTTCTTCATTTTCAGGTTCAGTGATAAAGTATGTCTAACATCACCTTATCCACTCACCTGTAGACAAGACAGGTGAGGACTCTGAATGATGCTGACATGAAGATAATTACAGAGACTCCCATCTGAATCCAAGCTTTCAGTTTTCTAGGTTGTATTCATTTCATCACTGATCGAATGATTGACAGCAACAATAAGAGGAAGGATTTAATTGGCTCAAAGTTCAAGGGATATCAGTCCATCTATTTTCCTGGAGTCTGGTGCATGGGAGAGCAAGAAATTTATTCCTAAAAGAGAGCCAGCAGCATACTTCTTCCCTTGTGAGTTGAAGGCCACTGTTACTTTTAATAATGAGTAATGATAACCATCACCATTATCCCAATGGAATCCAAGTGGGACACCAGACCTAGCTTGTTCAAAGTCCAATAGTGATGGGGGAAGTCCTTCTATGTAAATGTTTGTCTTATTGGTTGATAAATAAAGCACTGCTGGCCAATAGGCAAGCAAGATAGGTGGGACTAGGGTTCAAAGAGAATTCTGGGAAATGTAGTAAAGAGAAGTTGGTTGGTCCAGTGTGAAAAAGCAGATTACTCTGTTCTGAACTTCACTGCCAAGGAGCAAAGTTGACGTCATTAAAAAGCTGATATCAGAGAGACACAGGTTTTTATAGTCAGTTATTATAAGTTTTCCTTTGTCCATTTTGGTTTTGTGTTTGCTTTGTTTTGAGAAATGTGCCAAGAAATTCTAAACTCAGGCTTCTTTTATTCCTAACATTTTCCTTTCATTTTTACATCAAGGACAATGTTGGAAACAAAGCAAGAATTCTATAAGAAGAATGTACAGGTATCCTCAGATGACTGCTCAGCTTTACGTCAGAATATTTTCAGTCCCCTAAAAGAAGTAAAGCAGGGCATTTATTCTAAACCAGGAGGACACCGTCTTTTTATCCAGAAGAAACTGGAGTTGAAAAAAAAAAGTACTATGAGGAACCCAGGAAGGGAGCTCAGGTAAGCAAAGTTAAGTGTGTCTTCTGGGAAGCTGCTGACCTCCTTTAGATAATAGAATGGTCACAAGTATCATTGCCAGAGTATCTTATGGTTTGCATTCCAGGCATATGTGCCTTTAACATCTACGTGAAGGTTATCATGCTGGATATGTCCTGGGTAGCCATAAAGACAGTGCACTCCCTTAACAATTGAGTTCACACTGAACAAACATATTAACCATAGTATAACTGTCACCTGCTATTTCAGCTGGATTCTTTGTGTTGTTGCAAAGGACCCAATGATAGCCCTTTAAACAAAACTTGTAATTTATCAATTTGGCCTTCAAATTGACTTTAAAAGAAAACTAAGTGTGATAATATTATCCTATGTCCATCTGTCCATCACTCTTCCCCAGACACATTTTTTTCTACCTTTCTCATTTCCTCTGATCTCTTTGTTCCCCATGAGGGCTTATATTATCATCATCAAATTCTCCCCATCTATGACCTTAACACCATTAACTCCAAAGTTAGAGCCCTAGTCTAAAAGGACAGCCTTTGTTTTCTAACACAGGCCTCCAATAACAGATATTGTTGAGTGGGGTCCAGCCTGGACTGTGTTCCTGTTTCTGTGACCAGGACTCTTAGCACCAAGAGGTGTCACTAGAGGAAATAGGGGAAATGAAATAGTCCTGCATCATTCAGTCATTCCTGCTTCTAACTTCATGTTCTCTGGACTTGAAGGCTGAAGACGCTCTGCTCAAGTTTTTGCAGTCCAAGGAGAATGTGACTGATACAATTCTACAGGGATCCACAAAGGTAGTTTTTCCACCTTACCTACTATGAGTTTATTCCTAAGAGGGTTTTAGGGTGAGAGGAATGATTTAACTCTCACAAGTATGTAAGAGTCTGTCCCTCCTCTTTCTGGTACTCTGCTCTTAATATGTGTTCAGTAGGGAGATAGATGAGGAAATTCGTATCTTCATTCTGGGACTCTGATTCTCTTTCCTATCACCTGTCACCCTGCTACCAAGTAGAGGAAGCTCACACCAGACTTCTTCTCCGATCACCACTCTTTCTCTCTTTTTCTGTGTGAGTTCCTTTGTATATTTGTCTTGCTCATGTATGCACATGGATGTGATGGCCACAGGTGTTCAAATATTCTTCCATTATTCTCCACCATATTTTTTGAGACAGGGTGTAAAGATAAGTCTTTCTGCCAAGCTAGCCGAGCTCCGCTGCTACATGGGTGCCCCCAAAATATCACACATATTAGGAACAATGCTGCTGGCCAGTAACTAGGATTTCTTACTTACTAGCTCAGTCTTAATTATCAACCATAACTACTAATCTATACATTTTATAAGAACTTATCTTATCAGACACCAGTGGCAGGTGTCTTCTCTTGCTGGGATCACATGGCGGCTCCACAGAGAAGAGTGGGGGAGGAAGAGAACAATTTCCTGCTTGTCCCTGATTATATTCTAAGTCTACCTGCTATGTCACTTCCTGCCTGGATCACAAGACTTCTCTTTACCACATTTCCCAGAATCCTCCTCGACAACTAGTCCTGCCTAATTTACTCCTCTATTGGCCAACAGTACTTTATTTATCAACCAATGAGACAAACATATACACATAAGGACCTCCCCCATCAACAGGGTCTCTCACTGAACCCAGAGTTCTCTTTGTGTTAGCCTGGCTGGCCTACTAGTTTCAAGGATCTGCCCATATCTGCATCCCCAACCTGCTATTAGAGCACACTGCTGTATCTAACTTTTACATGCATGCCTGGGAGTCCAGCTAGGTCCTCATGTTTAGGTAGCAGGCATGTTCCTGACTCAGCCATGCCCTCCCCACTGACTTAAGTTTCTCAGACTAAGATTCAGAGCCTTAGGTCAGATTTTCAGAATTCATTGCTATGGTCAACAGTAGGCTGGAGAAACCCACAGGAAGATGACCAGAATGCAGTCTAGATCAAGGTTTATCCGATCTACATGCGCATCCAATATTCTGTTTTCTACCCATTGTAGCTCTTTTTCCGCTTCAGCCGATAATAGTACTAATAGTACACAAATGGACTTTAGGAGTCCACTCTACACAGAGGGATACTCTCTCAGCCTAGACACATGGGGGAGGGACTAGGCCCTGCTCCAAATGATATCACAGACTCTGAAGATCCCCCCATGAAGGCTTCACCCTCCCTCAGGAGCAGAAAGGTTTTGGGATAGGGGGTAGGAGGCAGGGGAGGAGGGGAAGGAGAGGGAACTGGGATTGACATGTAAAAGAAGCTTGTTTCTAATTAAAAAAAGAATAAAGAGATATAAGAAAAATGTGTAAAAAGTAAAAAAAAATCAAAAAAGAAAAAATTCTTTGCATATTAAATTTTACACATGAATAAAAACATGTTAAAGATGTATAAAAATTAAGAGTAGAGAAATTTTTTAATTAAATAATAAAAATCAATTGTTACAGAAACTTCAAAGGACACAGGAATCTACTCAGTACAACAACTCATTGTTTCCTCTTGCCACTTTTTAGGAACAAGCTGGACTACTAGAGGAGGGATTCCAGCAGGAAATAAAAAAAAACTTGAGGATGAAAAGAAGTATCTCCGGAAAGGAAACTGAACCACAGATGGCATTGTAAGCTAAGGGTCTAAGAATAACGCCATTCTGCCACTCAAACAGAGCTGATCAGGGTCACATCAATTGATAATGATTGGGTCCTCCATCAGAAAACTAAAAATCTGGAAAGATGTGCAGTGTGATCATTGAAATCCTGTTTATCTTCTTATAAGATTGTGCTCCAAGAATATCATTGACATCTCTACCACAAGAGAGGCGTCAACAGGGCTACTCAGAAGAAAGTCCCTTTTCCAGATAATCACCAGGAGACAAATAGACACTGATCACAGTCTGTTTTAAAAAATAATTTATTTATTTTTATTGTTTTATGTGTGTCAGTGTTTTGCCTGCATGTATGTCCATGTGGGGGTGACAGACCTTGGAGTTATAGACAGTCATGAGCTGCCATATGGGTGCTGGGATTTGAACCCAGGTTCTCTGGAAGAGCAGTGCTCTTTAACCTCTGAGATATTTCTTCAGCCCCATACTGAGCACATTCTTAAATGGTGGCACACAATTAGGAACCAAGTTGTCCAGGGATGTGATGGCTCTGAAAGACAGGGAAAGCCAGCCTCATTTGTTTTGGAGACAATATAAAGTTCTGGATTATATCAAAAGTGCTCAACCTTTCAGCAATGGCATGATTTGTGGACACTGGCAATGAGCAACCCTATCAATACACTCCATCATAAATCAAGACAGCTGCATGGAGATCTAGAGTACCCATATACAATATCCACAGGAAGATGGAAGAAGCCATTAGCATGGCAAGGAACTGCTCCACTGTTGAAGAAGGAAATATTCCAGTTCATGTGGATGGAAACTGTAACAGGACATTTCCAAACTCTAAGGGTTGACACGGACTACATAGTAATACGATGACAACTAAGCACAATGTATAGCTTATGTACTTATGTATAAACTATACATAAGTATGTGTTATGTATACTTCATATATAAAAATACATAACTTTAAAAGGGCTTTAAATGGTGCTGGGTAACCTATAGATATCAAAGGAATTTTAATTATTTATCTTTAATTATAAACTTACACTACTCTTTGTCCTATTATTAGCAACTATACTTGAAATCCTGTTGATTTTCCCCAAGCATAATAAAGATTCTTCTCTGTATTTTGACCAGCTCTCATTTCATGGAGATTAGATAAACTATATTCCAACTGCCTAAAATGTAAAGTAGGTGGTGAACATCTTTTAAAGGGACTGGGGACTTTTTGAGGGGGTGTGGCTCAGTGAAGTGCTTACAGTGTAAACATGAGGACATAATTCAGATCGCAGAACCCATGTAACAAACCAGACATAGGGGTACATACCTGTAAGCCTAGCATGGAAGTTGGGGCAGGGGTAAACAGGATAATCATTCGTGCTTACAAGCCACCCAGTCTAGCCAAAACCTGGTCTCTGAATTCTCTGAGAGACCCCATCTCAAAAATAAGGTGGAAAGTATTTGAAAACAGTTGTGCTGTTTGCTGGAAGTGAATGAGACTGGAAATAATCACATTAAGCAAGTTAAAACAGTCTCAGAAAGACAGATGTATATTTTCTTTAGTACATACCTCCTAGACTGCATACAGACACATAACATTACCTATGTATATATGACATGAAAGTCAAAGTGAAACTCTGTAGGGAAACAAAGAAGACTAGTGGAATCAGGAAGCATGAAGAATAAAGGGTACAGGGTATCTTAACATGCAAGATATACTTATATGAAAATATCCTCCTATAGCATCTTACATCTGTCAGAATGGCTGAAATCAAAAACACTAATGACAGCCTATGTTGGAGAGAATGGAGAGTAAAGGGAACACTGCTGGTGAGAGTGCAAACTTGTACAGCCATTTTGGAAATTAGTATAATGGTTTTTCAGAAAATTGGGAATCAATCTACCTCAAGACCCAGCTGTACCATCTTAGGCATATACCCAAAGGATGCTCAATCATACCACAAGGACGCTTGATCAACTATGTTCATAGCAGTGTTATTTGCAATAACCAGAACTTGGAGACCACTTAGATGCCCCTCAACTAAAGAGTGGATAAAGAAAATGTGGTACATTTACTCAATGGAGTATTATTCAGTGGGGGAAAAAACTAATGGCATCCTGAAATTTGCAGGCAAATGGATAGAACTACAATAAATCATCCTGAGTGAGGTAACCCAGGCACAGAAAGACAAACATGGTATTACTTACTCATAAGTGGATATTAGATGTAAAGCAAAGAATAACCAGGCTATAATCCATAGCCCCAGAGAAGCTAGGTAACAAGGAGGACCCTAAGAGGGATGCATAAATTTCCCTGGGAAGGGGAAATAGATGAGATCTCCTGGGTAAACTGGGGTGGAAGGGAGGGGTGGGGGATTGGAACATGGGGAACTGGGTTGGTTGAGTTGGGGGTAGAATGGAGGGGGAGAGTAATGAAAAAGATATCTTGATAGAGGGTGCCATTTTGGAGTTGGAGAGAAACCTAGTACCAGGAAAATTCCCAGGAATCCATAGGATGACCCCAACTAACACTCCTAGTAATATGGAGAGGGTGCCTGAACTGCCCTTCTCCTGTAATCATATTGGTGACTTCCCTAATTGTCATCAGAGAGCCTTCATCCAGTAACTGATGGAAGCAGATGCAGAGATCCACAGCCAAGAACTGGGCTAAGCTCTGGGAGTCCAGTTGAAGAGAGGGAGGAAGGGTTTATGAGCAAGAGGGGTAAGATCTTGACAGTGAACCTACAGGCACAGCTGACCTGGGCTAGTGGGAGTTCACAGACTCCAGACCAACAGCTAGGGAACCTGCATGGAACTGTCCTAAGCCCTCCACATGTAGGTGTCAGTTGTGTAGCTTGGTCTGTTTGTGGGGCTCCTAGCAGTGGGATCAGGACCTGTCCCTGGCACCTTTTGGAACCTATTCCCCATGCTGGGATGCCTTGCACAGCCTTGATGCAGGGGCAAGAACATGGCCCTGCATCAACTTGATATGCCATGCTTTGTTGACTCCCATGGGAGGCCTGCCCCTTTCTGAGTGAGTGGAGGCAGAGTAGATGGGGGTAGATGGGAGGTGGGAGACGGAATGGGAAGAGAAAAGGTGGGGAAACTGTGGTTGCTATGTAAAATTTTTAAAATTATTTTAAGTTTAAAAATTTTGTAAAGAAAGGGCCAGGCGTTGGTAGCACACCACTTTAATCCCAGCACTTGTGAGGCAGAGGCGGATTTCTGTGAGTTCGAGGCCAGCCTGGTCTCCAGAGCGAGTGCCAGGATAGGCTCCAAAGATATAGAGAAACCCTGTCTGGAAAAAAAAAAAACAGAGCAGTCTGAGTTTCCTTCTCTTTTGTTTCATTTAGTTTGGGATTTGGGGTGGTTGCTGTTCTTTTTTACTTTGAAATAGGGTCTTGTTATATAGCCCAGGCTATACTATACCTCAAATCCCAGAAGGTGTGATGATAGGTATGAGCCACCACACCTGGCTAGATGTCAGCTTCTTTAAGACAATAAATATCAACTACAAAAATCCCACACCAGCATCACACTTAATGAAGAAATAAATGTTTGCCCTTCTGACATAGGAAAACACAAGGTCTTCCATTCTCACCACTCATGTTCAATGTGGCCCTGAATCTCTTACCACAGTGTGGTGGTTTGAATGAAAATGGCCCCTATAGGTTCACAGGGAGTGGCATTATTTGAAAAGATTAGGACCTGTGGCCTTGTTGGAGTAGGTGTGGCCTTGTGTGTCACTAGGGATGGGCTAGAGGTTTCAGAAGCTCACCTCA